TTTTACACGCAGTATACTGTAAAATACTCCAAACGTTCTAATAAGATTTATGGTAATAATTGAAACAATTAATATTATTATCCGGCCATTGATTGCTTAGATGTGAGAAGGTGTACTTTCAAGCAATTTTGCTGTGGTATTCGGATTAAGAATGGTTAATTGATTAACAGTATTCTTTTTTCAATATTGCTTTCTAATTACTGACATAATTTTCTCGATTATGTGACTCTGGGCCGACCGTAAATACAGAACTCTATGAAATTAGCTTGAAACAATTTTACTTGCCCTATAATTTTCATTTTCGTCAAAAGCAATGAAGGTATCTAATGACTAGACTGCGGAAGTTTATGCCAATTCAGAATTTCAGATACTAATATCTAAAAATTGAAATGGAACAGAATTTTCAATTCTGCACTGAAGGCTTTGCTATATTAATAATAACATATAAATAATATTAAGACTTATTGGAATCTTTATTTTATGCATTTTCCACGTTACGAAACATCTGCAGTCTACTAATGACCAATGGACGACTTTGTACAATTCCAATACGTACTAGATCATGTTCTACCGAATTTGATTACCATACATTTCCACGACAAAGTGGTCACAGAGTATTTCGAAATCTGACAACTCAACCAATTCTCATCCAACTATAAAAGTTCAAATTCCTGTAATATCGCCTAATTAAAAAAAGAGAGAGTTTGCCGCTGGAAACAATTTCCACGACAGCGCCCAGTACAGCCGAACGAGTACTATAGCCGGCGAACGCATCGATTCAGCGATCGTACATTTCGCTTCTGTCAACGTGCCCGGCTGGTTTTCCAGCTGGTATTTACCCAACGGGAAAATTGTTCGGGGTACGATTCCATGTACATCCTTTGAGACGAAAAAACAGCGGATGCTGGAGCGCGTAACCGGAAAAGTTTTGTGCCCGCTTTACGAGGCCTCTGTTGGGTCGGCAAAATCTCGCTGGCGAAGAACCCCTTTGTTGCACAAATGCCTTATACATCGTCAAGATGCTTTCTCTGATCATTAGTAAGTCGGTGTCGATTTATAATTTCATTTATTTAATTAAAACCGAAGCATTAAATATGTCGATCGATGAACGTCGTCGTCGTTTCGCGCGATTATTTCATGCAGACCAGGTGTTTACTGGATCGCTTCCATTTTTTTTCTGTTTTTTCTCTTCTCTACTTCTCTACGGGCATATCGATTCTTCCGCTTGGGATACGTCTTTGATGCCTATTTAGGGGCATTCTCGGGTTAAAGATAATGCTCGGAAGTTGAGTTTCGTGACACGGCTTTTGCGAGGTGGGCGAACTTCCCCTGTTCAATTGTTCGATGACTCGAGCATCCTTCCCTATTGCGTTTAATTCCTCGGTACGGTTAACAAAGAATCTTTCTCCACAGACCTGTACGCTTGGTGGAAAGCAAAGAGTTCTGGGCGAGTTTCATTCTTGTTGTTCGGGCTTTTCACTACGGCAAAGGTCGTTCAGCTTCTTTTTTTTTCTTCATACCCACCCCTCAAATCCTCTCCTTTTTGTACATCGGATTTGTACATTATCTTTGAATTAATTGGATTTCCGTGCCCGTAGCTGCGTCGAATGGTAGAGCTGATCGTCGATTTAATCGCTTGGAAAAGTGAACTAATTCGTCGAAAGACAAAGCTCTGGGTTCTCGGATTCGACTGGGCAAAAATAACGGTGGACGTAACTACAATATTTTCACTGGGACGTACCTACTGTTCGGAGAAAACAAAGGCTCTTCAGCCAGGTACATCGTTATCTGAATAGACGAATTTATCCGTGTGATACAATTGCAGGGGAACCGCTACCGTTTCGTTTTTCAACGGTACGTGTCTTCCTTGTGGGAGTTTATAAGATAAATAAAGGAGCATAACAATAAAAAACAGACTAGACTAAATATGATGGACTTTAGAGCGTACCTACATGTAACGAAGCTAAAAATGGTTGCAAATTAAGTGTAGCAATTTTTTTAGAACTATACGAGTTTCTGTACGTTTTACATTTTTTTAAATATTTACTGGTGACATTATTATAACAACGAGTATTAAAGAGACTTATTTCTTAGTGGCAAAGTGGCAGTATGTTGAAAACTAAATGGTTTATAAAATTAACATTTTCACTGGTAAATCAACAGTTATGGTATTCGAGAATATAAAAAGCACGAGCACTGTGATCAATTTTCGTTTATATACAGTTGGTCGCAAAAGTATTAGGACAATTTAGACATTAAACGAATTTTGCGAGAAATTGTAAGTAGATTTGTAAATAAAAAAACTACATCAAAACCCAGTTTTAATGAACATTTACTATAAAACGAGTTAATAAATCTTCATTAAAAACAGATTTTGATATAAGTTTAACAACGAGGAAAGAATGAAAAATGCTTTCGAAACAATTATCCTATCGAAAAACACATGTTTAAACAAAAAACATTTATCCTCTGGACAAAATGTATCAATTACAATGGGTCATATGTCGATTAATAAACATTTCATTTAATAAAAAATACACTCACTAAAAATTTCACAGATAATTTAGACATTCCATCCGCAATAATCCAATAGTATCTTTTATTAGGACAATATCGAGCAATTTTATTCGTTTAAAAACAAACCGGCAAGCTCCGTCAGATCGCGGGAAAACCAATAGTTCCCGTTCCCCGCTGTAAAATCAACGAGTGGTTTCCTTCGTTTTTCATCAATCCCGTCCGTCCCCGATACCGTTCCCATTATAAATCCTCTTTATTCGGGGCCGAAATATACAAGCAAGAAAAATCTTCCGTAAATACCGAGCTAAACTCGACATAAGGAAACGATTTCCATTCGAGTTGGACAGGCAACTTATGTTCAGCGAAGAGGATCGAGAACACTCCACGGTACGTCGACGTGCTCTGCGCGATTTTATATCACCGTTGATAAAGCGCTTTCTCGTGTCTAACGTTCAACGACGTTATTCCTCCTCTCTCCCTATTCCTGTCGAGGATACGGACAGGTTGAGTTCTATTGAAACAGAACAGTTACCTCGTATCGAGTCCGGGGGACACTTCATCCGAGCGGAAGAAAAATATGGAGCGCCGATGAACGAAAAAAAAAAAAAGAAAATAAAGAAGAAACATCCAATAAAACAGAGAACGATCCGTCTGGGCACGATTTACTACTTCATTCTTCTCGATCTATGTGAATTCCCTTTATCTTTTTTTGGGGAGGGGGTTACGAATGCTGCACGATTTAATCAAAATCGTTCGATTGACAGATATATATATAATAAGCCGTTGTCAATTACCGTGTATCAATTTATACAAATGGTCCCAGGTTTATTTTCCAATGATTGACCGTCGGTAAACCAACCGCCAGATTCGCTGTGGGGGGGGGGGGTTGAAGGGGATAGATGGACCATAGCTGAAAAGAGGATGGCGTGGACCAGCGGCCACGTCAAATCACGAACGGAAACGTTTGGAATTACAAAATGTATATACGTATATATTCCACGGGCCGCGAAACGATTTTGTGTCACAAGCAGACATATTTCGTTCTCTAAGTTTTCACCGTGGTCCGATGCGTCACGCTAGTTTTTTTGCTCGTTAGTCTTTTTTACCCCGCGATACGAATTAGGAGTGTACACTACCGATCGAAAACGTTTCGGTGGGACTGCAATGGAACGTGAAGGCGCTTTCTGTCTGTCATGGAAATACGTGTGTAGTTCGACAGGATGATTTCGAGAATTGGAAGTAAACGATGAATTGAAATTCGTGTAAAATATGCTGAATTCCATTGTATTATACAGTAGCGGACAGAACAGTTACCACTTTTCCGATTTGTTTCGTTTTTATTGTTTTTTTATCGTTACCTTAAAACTTTAGTATGTTAAACTATAATATACATTTTAATAGAAAATTAAAAGCTGTATTAAAATCAGCATATTAAAGTTTTAAATTAATGGTAAGAAATAATAGAAATATAATGAATCAAAAAAGTGGTAACTTTTTTGTCCGTTATTGTATGCAGAACGCGAATTTTGATGCATTTATGAACTATGCAAGCTTGTGGAACATAGTATTATAAGTAACTTTTAATAATACGACGTTTTATTTCAATTTAACGAAACGTTTAGTTGCAAAATCGGCTTTTTTTTATCGTGATTACCTATTGTGAAATAGATTCCGGACGTTATAAAAAGGTTTATTGTGCCATACGTTTCTTTTGAAGGTTTGTAACTAATAATTTCAACGAATACTGCGTGCGTGATACGACTAATAAAATATTTTTATATCTTATGAATTAAACAATATGTCCATGTCATGTATAATAAATTTGTGTTATCTTTTAAATAAATTATTTTGTATGCACCAACATGTATTTAGTTGTAAGGCGTTCCTCAAGTTTGAAACTTCTATGTCACTATATTTATTCAATCATTTCTCAGAAGTTCAGAATAATTTAATCCTTTAATGGTGGAAGTTTGATTCCTCTATTTTAAGAAAAGAAATAAATGTTTCAATTTTTAGTAAAATGTCAATTTCTATCACTAAAAGTACTTTATTTCTTCACATACTCACAGTATACTCGTCATTACCCAAAAAGTAGTAATTTCCTCATGACGAGTATACTCGTCAAACATCGTTAACGGGTTAATATGCAATCTTTTGATGTCAGGAATATTCTATAATCAATTTTATGCACGATCGATTACCTTCATGTTCGTGTAATACTACAGAGAAATATACAATTCCGAATTTTTAATGTGATTATTGATACCAACGTCAAAACTTTTGACCGTAAGTATATGCTCGTTTTATCATTCTGTACTTCAGACTCCCGTGCGGAACGGTTCGACAAAGATTGTGCAGTATATCATGCAAGGAATTACACGTTCCGCGTATTCGACCTTTCTTTGGAGGCGGATCCAATATGTTCTTGTCGACTTGCAGCAGTTTGAATAGAACACGATTGGACCCCCTCCCCACTTACTCACCGGAGTCGAAGGTCACCTCGCTGATCATTATCCACCTGTCCGAGAAGTGTAGCCTGAGCTTGAGGTATTTACCGACGCGATGATGAAGCTTGATGGTAATGTTCCGGGATGACTCGAATATCTTGTCCTCCATATATGTGTACGTGATCGGCTCGCCCGTGTAATATTTCCCGCCGATGCTGAACAGTATGTCGACTTGCGAGAATATCTGTAACATATGATTGCAAGCTGTGTAAGTTGACCTTACACATGGGAAATCTGGCGTCTTATAGACAGAAGTGAAATATCGTTTCCATTTATGTAATCTCTTTCAGGGAAGTATCCTCTTTATATAAAAAGAAGTATACTATAGATTGACGTATAGACAAATCAGCAGTTACAAAAAAAGGTGGTTAGAATTGTTGAATGATGTAGCTGAAAATTGGAGACAGAATACAGAAGGAATTATAATTGGCCCAAGTTATGCAGAAGCCTACCAACCCTTCAAATGACAAAAAATTAGGTAAAGATGGTACGGATCCCATAATTTTGTAATTTTTATTTTGCCAAAAATTATCAACCCAAACAACTTTTGCAGTATACAATTATTAAAACTGCCAAGCTACAGAAAATTTAAAATAATATTAATTATACTACTCACTACTAAATAAGCCATTAAAAGACATTGTAAAACAACAACAAGAAATAAAATATATCCAATAGAAGTAAAACATTTTTTGTTTAATTAAAATCTTCAAACTAAAATTTCATTTCAGATCATTGAGGGTTGGTAGCTTTCTGGATAACTTGGCCCAATTCTGTCATGTGTGATTTTCTTAAACATATCTAAGGAAGCATAAAGGATATCTAAGGAGTTATAATATTTATTACTTATCTTAACTTTCTGCAACTTTTTCAGTATAATGAATTTTATTAAATCGGATATTATATAAATGCATAAAATTCACAGTTTAGTGATATGTGAGAAACGTGATAAAGAGACCGAGATCAAGAATCTACATATTATGAAAAAGCGGAGGGAAATAAATATCCATTTTTATTATACCTGTAGCAAGTTCGAGAGATTGATCACGGTAGCGTTAAAACACATTGGGAAAACCTAAATAAGCTGGCGTATAGATGAAATAAAACAGACATAGACGAAGTATGACGTTGATGGATAGAGTCGCCTTGAAATCCGGTCTCACCGTAGAAGGTTTTAGGAACAAAGTAAAATACGGCCCCCTTCGGGCGTAAAGGGAGTGGGGAACGGAAGTTGTATGACTTCTGAGGATGTTATAAAAGTTTAACGCGTCCCCGAAGTTCGATAGGGTACGTGATCAGATCATAAATCAGAGACATTATCCGAGATCACGAAGGGATTTACTTAGGACTTAGAGTATATAGAGGTTGCGTACATGCAACCCTGTTGGTCCTTTCAGCATTGGAATTTTACGATCCAATTCTCAATTTCTATGGGAATTCGACACAGGTAAATCACGATGCGTTCCCGAGATAACAATAACAATACAGACACAGCCAGATTTGTTAGCTATGTAAAGACTGGCATAAATGACATTTGATTAGACCCAAATGATTCGGATAATATCGGCCGCTTTGAATTCGAAATAGCCGATATTCTAGGCCGATAATACTTGATACAGACTCAATTGGACACACGAGATTTCACGTTAATGATATGAAATGCAGACTTGTAAAAGCAGGTAAAACATAGGGAAAATTAAACCCGTCCAATGTACTCCAAATTCTACAGATTCCAGACTCCAAGAGTTCTGTAGTCTATATGGTCCGACAATAAAGTTCTCGAACTGCAGTAATAAAAAAAAATACAGACTCTTAGATAACAAACTGTTATATCTTATCTCTCAAAGTAGCTCATAATGAGCCCAAAAGTTAAATGACCTTGGATACGAGACTTGATAACATTCACCCTATTCGTCGGACCTTTCGCCCACAGATTATCGTCTGTTGGAAAATTTTGATAATTTTATCAAGAAGAAAGCATTACGTAATGACCGTGATTTGGACACAAACGTTCGTGGACTTTGTTTGCAAAACGTTGGGAAAACTGTAACGATTCTTATTTCGAGTAAGTAGGGGAAAGGAGTCTAAAACGATCCCTTTAAGGCGTAATTTATATAAAAAATACAAATGCTCATTATTTAAATAAAAGTAAAGTAGTTTTTGTAAGTTAGTCTATATGTATACCTTATCATTGGCTTAAATAAAATTTAGCTACGTGATGAATTATATTTTTTATTCACATTTCTTTGAAGGCATTTTTACGTAACTTCTTAGTTCACGTAAGACAATTATGGGCAAGATAAGCATTTTTCAAATTTATCATGTAGTGTGTGGTTTTTTGAATGAAATATATTTCTTTATTTCATCTTACACGGTTTTTTAATAACTTGGAACGTATCTCCCATTTTACTATAGGAAACATCCCTAGTAGCAATTATTGTTCTTATTAAATCCTGAAATCTACGCAAGCGATTGTATTATATTTATATACGTCTTAATGTTCAATGTATTAATAACGTGTAAATTTATTATAACATGTTTTTAAATATAGTCCGATTTATGTCGGGTTTGGACTTATTTATATCAGGAGAATCTCCTACATTTATTCATAACATTTTCAAGAAAGTACACCGAAAGGAGTAAAAGTTTAAATTTTTATTCATGGGTGATTCGTTCTGTGTGTTACATTGTATCCAGAGCGTCGGTCGACGACGGCTTATAGAATATCAGATATCTCTACTCGCCGAGGCTTCGCTGGGCAGAGCCTCGTCTCCGCTGTCACCTCATAAAACTGTCATTTCGGCTCGTTCAACCAGCCGAGCCGAGCCGGTGAATCGTTGGCTTCCGATACGACTCGAGCTGCTCGGCTCGACTACCCATCACTATAGTCTGTTTTTCGAATGATGATGCCTGGGAGGTTGGCCTGCCTCGGCGCGTGGCCTGGAGGGGTTCCAACGCAAGCTACGTATTTCGTGTGACGTTGTGACGGTCTCAATGCCACTGTGTGTCTCTTTCCATCCTCCAGCACTTCGGCACGAGAGCCTCTCGCTCAGGCGCTCGGTAAACCAACTTCCTTCTTTACCCTGCGATTTCCACGTGTAGCGTTTAATAACCTGCGTGTTAATTTAATCCCCTTTTAATATGTTGCTCAATATTTGGGTACAATACATTCTTTCAAAAGAAATAAACTTTTTCTTATTTATGTATTTTAACTTTTGATGTGTGAAAACGTTCAGCGTCTCGTCAACATTCCCCGCCATTTCCAGACAATGGATGATTGACGGGCGCGTGCCGAACGCAGTCCCCACTCCTTGCGATTGTAGGTAGGTCCTCCTCGAGAGGTTTCTAATACGTGTGATGGAGGACTCACGTCGACGGTCGCACGTCATTGGCCAAGACGCGAAGAGTGAGAGAGACACAAGTGCCGTAGGTGTCTCGCGATCACGGCAACACCGCGAAAACTCGGGCCTACCTCCCAGGCATCATCTTTCGAAAAACAGACCATAGTCGAGAGTCGATAACGTCATTGTCACAACAGCTGGGCAACATCTGAAGCGAATCCTCCGGCGGCTGAGCTATCAAATCGTCTTTTTCTCTCTCTGTTTCTCCCAAAGATTTCGTTATCGTAATTCGCGTCATGTAAATCCAATTACGTGAGATTCGTTTCAGGTTCCTAATGGCAGTCGGAAACGATATTCCCTCGGTTGACGGCCGAGAGGCGTTTATCCGATGATATCGGTGCTACCGCATTGTCGGTGTGTAGAGCGAAATAGGGTTGATCATAAAACTAGTTCGGTTCTCCTATCGTTTCTCGTCGTGTCGACCCCGATAAGTCCGTTGGTACGGGCATATTCAATCGAAGCTCATCGGGGAGGACAAGTGTAGTCGGGACCTCGTGTGTATACATACGCGTGTGTACACACGCCGGGAGTCAGGAGACACGGCGGGAGAGAGGGACGGGAACCGGCTTATCCGATATAATATACCGGATGAAGCACAATAACTGATCTGGAAGTAAATCCCTTTTCTACAGTACGGTTCAACGGAGGGAAATGGAGCTTTTGGGTGAAGCCGACCCCCGAGCTAGACGATCCTTCTTTTTTTTTGTACTATGCCGTCGTCTGTCCCGAGGAAAACATAGTTTTGTACCGCAACTCACTGTTGCAGGTCCCCGTACAAACAGAGCCTTAGCCCTTAAAGAGCAACGTTACTTCACTCTTTTTCTCTATCCAGAAGACTCAACAAATGCGGGTGTGTGTGTCTAAAGGCATTAACACTAAAGCTATCACGGTTGGTCAAGTTACCATTTTTGAACTTTCGATTAAAAATTCTGCATTCATTGTTATCTCTTTCGTCACTTGACTTCAGGACTTGTCCTATAATATGTTATAATGGTAATTCTATTTATTTTAGCCTCATGACTATGAAATGGACCCAAACTCCTGATTACTACATTACTATTTTGAACCATTCACACCTTATTTTGTATATCTAGACCTCAGAGTCTGTGGTACCCTTGTGTGTATTACGTACTTTTAAAAAAAATAACATTTTACATGTTTCCTGTATCAAATATTTTACTCTTTCCGATGGTAAAAATTATTTCATTCTAAGTTGTTTAGTTTTTAATATAATAGTCTAAAAATAATATTAAGTTCATATTTTGTTCCGAGCAAAACAGTGTAAAGTCCATCAAGAATTCAAAGAAAGTCCAACAGAGATATTCAAGTGTTAATTCGTATTGGACAACCTTCTACATAAGTTATTGGTAGATTTAGTGTTAAAAGGTTTCTCGACCGCGTCATCCACCCCCACGTATTTTGCCCTCCATGACATCGTTTTCATCCCCCACGTATCAACACGCCTACGTTCTTCCGATTCCGTAGGATCTACCATCCCCTCCTTGGTTCCCGTTTCGATCGTCAGCGCGTCCCGGAATACGGAAATGAGGCAATTAGTAGCAGTGGACATTTTGTCACTTTAGGCGTCGACAGCCTGTGGAAAGAGACATGGACACGGGGATTGGATTCGATCCCAGGGTTAAAATCGTTAGACTGGCGTTATAACGTTCGCCTCATTTCAGCCATTGATCCAGATGGACATCACCGTTATATTGGATGAACGACGAGAAGGTTTTCGAGGGGTGGTTGGAGGGGGTGGACATTCATCAAAGGGCATGGTCCG